CAGGGCCGCTCGTGGCCGGAGGCTTGGCGGGGCGCCCGGGAGCGCCGGGCTGTAGGGCTGGCCCGGGACAGGGAGCCCCCGCGCCCCTGGAGAGGAGCCCGGCTGTGGGCGCGGGGCAGAGAGAGCGCGGGTGTCACCTTGCTGACGCGGGGTCGCTAGCGCAGCCGTTTGTGTTGCAGGGCCGGCGGGGATGGAGCGTGAGGAGTCCCACCTGGCTGGGCCCAGGAGTGGCGCGCTGGGCGTTGCTCCTGACTAGCCTTTCCGAGGGGTGAGACAGGAGTCGGGGGCTGCCAAGCGGTGCGGGCGCCGGGCGTGAGCGAGAACCATGGTAACCCTGATCACCGAGCAGCTGCGGAGTCAGACTCTGGAGGAACTGAAATGCACGTCCTTCAGCATCCGCCCGGTAAGAGGTTTCCTCTGTCCGGGCCGTACAGGCTCAGGCCCCGCTGGAAATGGTGTTGACGTCATTTTGCTACCTTGGCGGGGGGCGAGTGAGACCTTGCACATCCGTACTGAGTTTGGCAGGGTCCCGCATGGGGCTGGGAGAGCTGCGTGTAAAGCTTGCCATAACTAAGCCGGGTTTGGCTGTCCCCTATCACTGCGTGGCCCCGGGTGCCACAGGACGCGTGCTCTGGGGTTCCTCGATGTCCCCCCGCGGTTCTCCATGCAGCGCTCGTCCCACAACCACGAGCTCTCGCTGGGGCTGTTGTCTGTGCTGATGGCTGTGCCTGGTGGGGTTCAGAAGCGTCTCCTTGGAGGAGCGCTTTGTGATCCCTTGGGATAGGAACGGAGTTTCTTCAGAGAGAAGGAGGAGCCTCTGCATTGTCTGTAAGGGGATGGATTTTTTGTAACCATCTTCATCTGGTTTCCCTCCTCTCCCGACACCAGAGAAATTCTCCCAAACAAGCATACCAAAATTATCTTGCACCCTGGCAAGGGTCTCTTGCAGGTTGGGCAGCCTATGCTACCTCACTGTTCCCAGTCACCACTTTGATTGTTGCCTTTTGGGTGTAACTGCAGTCTCTACCTTTGCTGCTGTTTACATTTTCTTAAGCAGTAGCATGAACCCAGCCCAGCTATAATTGCAGTTGGCCATAGATCTCCTGCCTCGTCCCTGTGGCCAGCAGCAGGACAGACTGGCGGTGAGGGAGCTGTGGCCTCCAGAGAGAGGAGCAACAGCAGCACATGGTGAAGTCAACAACAAGTTGCTGTTTATAATGTCACTCTGCTGGGACAGCTAACTTGAAATCGGAGCGGTTGAGTGGCCATCAGCTTCTCGATCTCTTCGTCTGAAACCAGCTGTTCCAGTACTGCTGCTGTCCTTGTCCTTCCCTTGCTTCAGGCTTCACAGTGGCCTTCCACAGAGGAACTGCGTGATATGCTCCTCCCTCCTGCCCAGTGCTCAGGCCTAGGGGTTTGCATTAGTAAATCTTCTCTCTTCCCAGGCTCCGATCCTATCCTTGCTCTTCCTCCCAGCTGAGTTTGTATCCTGCTGTGCCAGCCCAGCAATGAAGCAGCATTGGGAATCAGAAGGTGGACTTAATTAATTACTAAGGAGTAAACTGTGATTTAAACCGTCAGTCTTACCTTTGTTTTGTGTTTGTGCTGTTAGTCTTTCTTTAGAAAAATAGCTCATTTTAATTGGAGGGTAACAGTTTAAAAACACATTGATCTGCAATTAAATGTAGCTGTTACACTGAAGTTGGTATTCTTTGCTAGCCAGGAAGATGCGCAAAATCTGTCTGGGATTTTTCTAAGCAATTATATCTTAACCTGCACTTATTCAAATTCTTAATTTTTTTATAGTTCTTACATTTATGTTAGAAATGACAAATTATGCATTTTCTTGTGGCTTTTATCAACTTGAATGGAAATGAAAATACATGAAATTCCATTTAAAATGCTGCTTTTTTATTAGCTAATTAAAACTGCCTTAAATATACTGGGTATATACACTTTTTTATTTTTTATTAAAACACATTTTCCATTTCAAAGAAAACCCAATTTATTAAACAGAGGAAGAATTAACTGTAGTGAGTGAATTGACCAATTTGTCACCCTGTGACAGATAAGTTCTTAGTGGCATTTTCAAAGGTAGGCATCTTAGGCAGGCCAGTAGGTGCAGAAATCCATTAGAGTTATGTCCTAATGTGTTTAGGATTTTCAAAAGCAGCTATTAGGTAGTTATCTGCATTTTAGGTATATAAATACCATGTCCTTCAAGGTTGTTGCAAACAGTAGACCTCATTGTGTCCCACCTGGATTACATTCTTACCTTGGAAGAGAACAAGGTTTCCTGCTCTTTCAATCCCAACCCGACCTGAGAGAGGGCTCTTTGTGCCCAGTAGCTTGTCTTACAACAGTTGGCCCAGTAAAAGATATCACCAACAACCCGTTGCTGCCTGCAGATTTCCTAACCCCCCAGGGCTACAACAACACTCCAGCCCCCAGTCACTTTGAACTTTGAATGAGCTAGTGCAAATGAAGAAAATAGTCTCTCTGTACCTGTCAGCTAAACTGAAATGCAAAGGAATTAAGGCAAAAGCTTTTCTTCACAACAGAAAATGAAAGTACCGAAATCTGGAAAAGCATAAACAGCTGCATTTCCTTCACTGTAAAGACTGGAAATCACAGGCTGAACTGAGTATCTATGTTATGTTGTGACACGTTTCTAAAGCATAAGTTGACCTCAGAAATTAAAGATGTTTCCCCCTCATTCTGCATAAAATTGAAAATAGTAGTATCCTTAACATGTTAATGTTTGAGGAAGGGTTATTGACAAAGCCTTTATTTAAACTATTTTAATAGATTGTGGTAAATGTAGGTTTTAACTTAGGATTTCATAATGAATTCCAAATAGGCTTAATTAAAAAAGAATATTTGAATATAACTTTCTGCACCCCAGGGGTCAGTATCAAGAGGAGGAGTGGAGGATGAGGAGCCTGCTGGCTCAGTTGATGGCTAGGCTTAGGGCTGGAGGAGAAAGGTTGGAACAGCTGTTGCAATGTTATAGGGTGATGCGTGACTGTATAGCCAGCTCCTGGTCCAGACCATTGGTCTCATCAGTGCAGTGATAAGTGCCACAGATCCATGCATGCATCCAGCATCTGAAAACCATCCAAAACATTTTTCCCTTTCCCTGTTGCTGTGCTGCCCTATGCCC